AAAAAACCCAATCCTGCCCAACCCTCACTGGCAATACAGCTGCCTGTCTGGGTCACTGCCCCCCCCACACACACAGTGGGGCCAGATGATGGCACCAGAAGCCCCAGCCCAGGCCCTGCTGCACCCCACTTCCCTGTGCTGCCTCAGGGGGCTCTGCCAGGAGGCCCTGGAGCCCCCACAGTCCCTCCTCCTGTGGTGAGTAGAGACTTTTTTTTTTTTTTTTAAGTGCTGAAGGCTGGGGTGGGGGGCAGCCATCAGAGGGCTGGGGGTGAAAGTAGGGGATGGGGACAGGTGGGGCAGCAATCTGGGAGTTTGGGGGAAGCAAGTGGGGGTGGCATATGTGGGCCCTGCGGCGGGGGTGGTAGCCCCTGCAGGGGCCATTTAGCCTTTGTTGCGGGGGCTGTGGCCCCTGATGGGGGGGTGGCTATGGCCCCTGTGGGGGGGGGCAGCAAAACATATAGGTATTTAGAATTCTTTTTATTATTATGATAGAGACACTGGTAGTCTTCCAAATTGCTTTAACAATATTGCTGTACATATATCAACAAAACTTGCCCAACTGATCTCTCTCTCTCTCTCTCTCTCTCTGTATCTATCTATCTATCTATCCAGAAAAAGAGAGAGAGAGGTCTTTTGTTTTAATCATGGAGGAACATGGATTTTGGGGTATTTTACAGAGTGACTTTGGGATTTTTTTATCAGGGATTTTTCAGTTTTCCAATAGGGAACACCAGAATTCCTGCTAGGGAGGCCAGTGGCAGGACTCTGCCTGCTCAGAGCTAGCGCCTTGGACCCAGCTGGATGTGGCTGACTTCCTGGCCAGATGGGGCCAGGAGGACATGCTTTGACAGTTCAAAGCAGGCCACCACACCCAGAACATCTTCTGGGTGATAACTGCCCAGCTGGCTGGGTAGGAGCACACATGGCAGTAGTGCCACAAAAAGGCCAGCTCTGCAGCCACAGCCCACTGGCAACTGGCCCAGAGGGGCAGATGCCTCATTCAGGTCTGGCAGATAAGCAGCAGGTCACAGCCAGGCAGAAGCCCCCACTGCCAGACTGTTGCAGTGGGTAGAGGGGGCAGGGAACTCTCAGGGCTGCTTCAGCAGTCTAGGTGGCACAAGGGGTAGTGTCCCCAGGTACCAATTGGCTGGACCCCAGAAGCTCCTGAGAGCCAGTAGCCCTGAGCTACTTGCCAGGGCAGCTTTTAATACTGCTGGGGACAGCACAGGTGCTGCCCCAGGCTCTAGCTCACCCTGGCTGCAGACCCGGGGGGAGCCAGGCAGGGTTATTTTGACCCAGGTGGCACAATTTGCTCCACAAGCAAGTGCATGTCCGAGCACGTGCGCTGAGACAAAAAGCCCCAGCTCAAATTTGGACTGCTTCTATTTGAGCTGCTGCAAGTGCACATGCTTGCATGTGTGGACACACCCTTCGTGTCTAACACTACTAGTCATATTGCTTTTGCCCAGTTACTTTTTCTGTCTTTATGAACTTATGGTGCTCCATTCCTCCCCGACCAGAGTGTGCGCTATTGATCAGCTCAATAGCTTTATAGACTATTTGCATGTAGAATAGGATCACGAATTATGGGTAAGTGCCAAAATGGCACTTAAGTGGTTAGGTAGCCACTATTTGGGTATGTAAAGTGAAGTAGGATTCAGCTTTTAGTTTCTCTCTCCCTTGTGTGAAGGCTCAAGGCTGTTTATTCTTATTGAGTTTACCTTCAGAAATTTATTTTTGCTTGCAAATGAACTAAAACCAAAAAACTTCATTTTGTATTTAAATTACTGTTTTAATTCTTCAGGTAAATAGTGTTGGGAGACCCTAAATTTTAACTACAGTCTAGAATTCCCACACTGATCTTTTTCCCGACTTCAATGGTGAGTGAATTAGGCTAATTCATCTCTGTGAAAGTTTAACTTCTATTAGATTGCATTCAGTTTTTACAGGATGAAATTTAGGCCCTTTGGTTTTAAAATCATATTGGTTGCATGCAGCATAGAGGACTAGAGGGAAGATAGCACTGTTACCTTGTCATGTGTGCCAAAGTATAATGAAGAAACAGAGTGACATAGTGGAAATGGTTAGTGGGGAAAGGCAGATGTATATTTAGTGCGCACATACAGTTAATGGGTTTACAATGACAGCTACTAGTGAACTAATAAAAAAAAGATATATTGGTTGCAGTGAGATGAAAGATACAAGTGTAAGCTTTTCTTCATGTGATCTATCAGGCAAACATAGGAGAGCTATCATCATAGACAATCATACAGACATTGGAAGAAGGACCTTCAGCACCAAAGACTTGAGACCAAAGATACAAGGAGCTAGGGATATTGTCAAACAGGATGCTTGATGTAGGCAGAAGTAGTGAATCTCACAAAAACAACATCTGAGCCAGTAAGTGACTGTCATGAGGGTCAATGATCTTAATCCTTTAGCCATGAGAGATATATCATCACTGATATAAGATTGATGATCAGTTTTATTATTATTTCTGTTATTGCTGCTGTTCACTGAATGCTAGTAGTATGCTTGGTGCTGTACAAACATTTTCTAATGGCTGATTGTTTCAGTGGCTATTCTTGTAGGAATTTTCCTTAATGAATTTTGAAATTAAGTCAATTCTAAAATAGCTATTTCATGTAGTATATTTAAATTGTGTTTCCTTTGGCAAAAGTATGTGATTGAGGACTTTTTTGTTTAAAGGAAAGTTGTAAAAGCTAGGTTTGTCTCTAATATTAATAGTGACCACAAACTTCCCATTTTGAAATGAGTGCTTAAAAATATTGTATTATCCCTTTCTGTAGTTATTCCTCCTGAAACAAATTAATAATCAGGCCAGAAGAGCTCTAAGGGCCTTTATTGTGCAGGTTTTACTGCAGGCTTTACAGCTGGAATTTACATCTCTTAACCAACATCTGAACTCTTTTAGTTTGTGAAAATTAGTGGCTATTCACTAACTGTTTGTTCTTTTCCTTCTGAGGAAAGTAGAATATTGTGAAAGTCTTTTGGTAGTTCAAAGACAGGAATGGTAGAGGACACCACTACCTTGTCCCCTATCTAAAATATACTTAGTAGATATTTGTTCTTATATTTCCCATTGGATTTTTTTTTCATTTTGTATCGTTGGGTAAAAACACTTATTTTTCTACACAGCTGGTTATTCAGACAATCTCAATGAAGATTTATTTCTTGTAAAGTGATAGTGCCAATTTATAACTTTTGACTTGGCTACGTAAGTACAATTGCAGAAGTCTTAGGTTTTCATTGCAAAATCTATGAATAAAGGAACCTCTCATTTTTAATAAAATAATCTTATCTTATTTCTAATGTTGCAGCCAATGTCACATGTATATTTATTAAAGAAACTGGTCCTTAAGATTGTAATTATCTACAGGTTCATCTTTGTCATGAATGAGAGTAAAAGAAATTTGGTACATAAGATTGTTGTTTATAGTCTCATATTTAAAATTCGTATTTAAGGCAGAACATTCAACTACAAGCAAAAAATCTCCTACTAACAGGAACCAGTTGTCCCTTTGTCATGGTTATTTTGCCATGGTTGTGTGATTATTGAGGGAATTAGGATGTATTTCAGTTTAGGAACTGGATTCTGGGGGTGAGTCTAAAAAGTTTTGAATCCAAACATTGACTTAAGAGATATAACCATTGTCTTTCTCTCTTTTGTAATGAAATGTGAGTATTTCTAGGAAACTTATATACTTCACATACAGGACTAGGCCTTCAGTAATGCATGCACACATATATAAAAGATACATGCCACTGAATCTACTTAATATCTATTCTAATGTGTAATTCTCAATATGCTGTATTTCCTATTTAATGAATATATATTGCCTTGATTTGTACCTCACTGACTAGTAGAAATAATGAGTAATAATAGTAAATTGATAGCCTCTTTAATAGAAAAGATAAAGTGTCAAATATTACAAAAAATAAAAAATATGGGTTCATATTAATTTATATCTATTTCTATCAGAGATACAGATAATATAAATCATTTCATGTTACCAATATCTGTGATTTGAAATAGGGTCATTAAACATACATTTTCTAGGACATCAATGTAAGTCTCAATCACTGAGCTGTTAATATATACTATGGGTAACTGTGCTGAACTTACCACATTAAATTGGAAAGGAAGCACAAAACTTGATGTACATTGTAAATGTTATTTGGGGTAGATTACAGAAAAGTAGAAATATGCTCAACATCTGGTTTCCTTAGTTGTTGTAATGATCCGTATTACAATGAAAAGCCATGGGCTGACGATTTGCCTGGAAAACTGCAGCTACTAACTCCAAAGGGGCACGTTCTGGTCTTTTGAGAACACTCTGTGAATGTCCTTTCAATTCAACAAAGGATACTCCATTGTTTCTTCATTTTTATATTGTCAGCAACAAAAAACCATGCTCAGTATGGTTACTAGTTTTGACTAGCCACCTATCTAGTGAAACCAGTGCTGACCTTTTTAAAATGGGCAATATACCTCATCTTCACTGTTAGTAAAATCAGACTTAAACAAAAGGGAAGGATACTGACCGATTCCTAGTTTTAACATGTTCCTTATGGCTTTTGTTTTTGCAGGTAACCAAAGTATGTGGCCATCCTGTGAGAAAGCCTACACAGTCCCCAAGTTGTTCTCTTGATCAGAACAAAGATAATCAAGGGCTGAAGGTGTTCTCAAGAGACAGTGAAGAAACACTTGCCAGCAGAAGAAAGTAAGACATTAGTTTTACAACCAGAAAGAAAGAAGAAAGTAAGCTATTAATTTTACAACAGAATAGATTATATTCATACAATGGGATGCAGTGCATTAGTGGAGAATACAGCATTGAGAGGAATGCAGCTATATTTCAGTGGTACAATAGTATATGCTATTATATTTCTAAAACATAGTCATTGAATTAAATCTAAATTTTTGTTTTCTGAAATAATAGACAAATAAGTAAAGACAGTTAGTGTAGTTTTAATCATTTAAAAGAACTGAAAGTGCTATGAAAATAGTGAAAGTATGATCAAACTGTATGTGTGTGTTGACATTTGCAGAAGGATGCTTTTTGACATACGGGTGTGCCAAAAAAGTGGTTGTTCCTTTCCTCCAAGACTTGTTTGTACAACAGGACTAGTGATGAATAGGTTAGAAATAAGAGAACAAATAGTTTTACAATCATATACATTCATGTTTTCCATTGTGATAAATCAGGTAGCACTAGCCAGGGATACATCTTAAAGTCCTTACTGTGGCAAAAAACTATTGATTTCAGAAATACTTTTGCCTGTGTAAGATGAGGAAAACTGAGTAACAGACTTCAGGATTTGGTCCTTAATTATAACCAGGGATCCTGGTTTTGTCAGTTAAAAAGCCCAAAAATTCTCTGATAAAACAAATCTAAAACTATCTGATTAAAAAAATCAAAATCTGGGGTTTCTGCGATTAAACTGAAATACCACTATATATATAGTTATCAGTTGATCACAATGCTTTATTGATATATTTACAATTTTAAAATAATTTGGAAGTCTACCAGTGCCTCAATCATTATAATAAAATAAATTCTAAATGCCTATAAATTTTGGCATTTGATTTTGGTTTTTTTATCATGGAAAAGCAGGGCTCCCCCTGCCCCCTTCACTCACCAAGGTGCCAGTCCAGCTACGGCTCTTCTCACTGCTGCTGCTTTGTGATACTGAGCAGCCTTTATATGCTGGTGTCCCTCACTCCCAAACCAAAGCCCCCACCCTAGTCTTGCCACTGCCTCTTACTCTTGACCCATAGTCCCTGCCTATCTCCCACTTGCTCCCTTCCAGCAGCAGCTCCCCTCCCACCCCCGCACCAAGACGTGTGTCCAACTGCAGCTGTCTGTCCCACTGCTTTGTGGCACTGAGCAGCCCTGACATGCCAGTGCCCTGCCTCTGTACATGGCATTGACCCTCACTCCCAACCCACAGCCCCTACCCACCCTGCCACTCACTCCCACCTGGCCTCAGCTCCCCTCTGCACCAGGACATGGGTCCAGCTGCAGCTGTCCCCCGCTGCTGTTTTGTGGCTCTGAGCAGTGCTGGCCCATGCTGTTCTGCTCCCTGCACCTGTTGGTAGCAATAAAGGCTGAGTTCAAGTTTTGGGGAGTCCCAAATAAGTGTAGTTTCAGCTTGAGTCCACACCCAAAAAGCTGTGACAACTAGATTTAAACTGAGGTGTTCTGAATGAACAAACTTCTCTTTTGCAAGCTAGGGATGTGCCCCAGCTGCCTTTTAGTCCCTGCCAAGGAGGGACCACTGCTGCCTGCCCACTGCCTCCATGCCAGCCCCTGGCACACTGAAGTCCCTGCCCTCCTACCTCCACCCTGCGGCTTCCATGTGCTCACCGCCCAAATGTTTCCAGATGGCAGCAGTGGATGCAGCACAGTGCATCTTGGTAAACCGGGGCTATCCCTCACAGCTGCAGGCTCACTTTGGCTTTGGCCAACCTCTGCATGCCACATGTCCCCATTGCAGATCCTGGAGCTGCTGTCCTGGGACATGCCATGCTAGCCTAGCCTGACCAATGCACTACTGGCCACAAGTACTTTGACACACCTACAACCACTATCTGGAACGATCTGGGTGTTCAGCACCCAGGAGGAGTGGAACTAGGGTAATGGGGCGAGGACTACAGTGGGCCAGGAACTTGCATGGGAGCAGTGGGCGGGCAGCAGTGGTCCCTGCTTGGTGGGGGCTAAAAGGCAGTTGGGGCAGAACCAATCCCTATGGGAGGCCCCTTTTGTGTCCCCCTCCTAATTCCCCTCCTCCTCCTGCTCTCCCTCCGCTCCTCCATCCTACTTAAACTGCCTGTCACCAGGCTGTCCTTCCCCACCCCCCCTTCCCTGCAGGGCCAATCAGAGGGCCATGAAATCAGGCCCAGGGGTTGCACAGGAACCAGGAAATTGCTGGTCTCTGGCTGTGATTTAAACCTGTCCCTATTCATAGGTTTTATATACTTTCTCCTACACTACACCATCTGAGGACCAGCTCTGAAAAGTATTTGGGAATGTCTAATTGTCATGGATTCCAGTGTGAATTAGGCACCTTGCATTTCCCTCCTGGCCCCTGGGGGGAAAAATAAAAAAATAAAATAAAAGCAGCAGCAGCAGCCTTCTGGGTAGTGCTGCTTTTTTTCTCTTGGCTTTTGGGGGAGAAAAAGGAAAAAATAAATAAAAGCAGCAGCAACAGCAGCAGCCCCCCAGGCACTGCTACCTTTCTCCCTTAGCCCTTGGGGTTGAAAGACAAAAAACCTCCCCAAAACAAAAAGCAAAACCAGTAACAGCATCTTCCCAGTTGCTGCTGCCAATGCCCCTCCTTCCTGACCCACAGCCCCATCCCCCTGCCAGACCTGCTGGAGGGGAGCTCCAGTTGCCCCTGCCCTCAGGCCTCAGGTCCAATCCCCCAGGCCCTACTTATCCCAAAGGTTGCAGGTGGCTAAGTAAGTCTGAGCTAGCCCTGGCTGGTCTCAGATTCTCTGGCCCTACCCCCTCTTCTCTGGGCAGGGATTAGGGTTTTGCACCCTATTTGCAAGCAGCTAATTGCAGGCTGGAAATCTGCCAGCCTGTGGAGAGCTGTTTGCAAAGGAGGAAACCTGCAGTTTCCCTCTTCAAAGGGGAAAAAAAATCTGTGTTTTTCTCCTTTAAAGGAGAAAATCCATGTTTTTCCATAGGAAAGAGAAAACCCAGATCCCTGATTATGACTCAGTTGGATGCATCTACATGTGTGCTTTACTGCAGAGTTGATTAATTAGCTCCATGGTAAAATGTCACCAACTACACGTGCACCGGTGTTAAAGCACAGTAAATTAGCTCCACGGTAAGATAGTACTATGCTATGGTGGAGTCATATACTGTACAGAAATGCATGTGTGGATGGTGACCAGGACTGCAGCAGTTTGAGCAGCCCCAGGCTGGCAGCAGGCTCTGGGAGTCAGCCACATGACTCTGCAGTTTCGGCACAATCATGCCCCAGCCAGCTCCTCCAGCACCACCACCTGGAGCCTGGCGCTGACCTCTCAAATCTGCTGCCAGCCCAAAAGCAGCTGACTCTGGCACAAACTGCACCAGAGCTTATTGAGCTACATTAATGGCTCATGGAGATGCACCCATTTAGAATTACACTGGTTGGTATTATTATAACAAGTAACAGTGTTTCAGTAAAATAGTGGCTCCATTATAAAAAAAGTCAGAACTTCTGTAACAGGAAATTATTTTTATTCCGTTCCTTTTTTGGGGATACCTGATGGGTAAAAATTGACTGAAACATGCCTACGGGTCAAAATGGCACTTTCCAAGTCTTGTATGTTCTGGATGCCAAAGAAATTAAAGCAAAAAACTAGGGAAAGGTCCTTCTAGATTTGTATTCTTTTGAAGAAAGAAATGCTAAGGCAGGCTGATCTTGTAAACACAAGACTTTCCCTGGCACATTCTGCTGTCCAATCCATTTTTTCTCATGAAGCATTTTGAGCAGTTTTGGTCATCTATCACTAACAGTGACTCTCTTTCATGGTAGTCACTGGATTTGCTAGGATTTCACTTGAGTGGGAGTCAAATAACTGGATTGGATTGTGTGTATGTGTACGTGCAAATGTATAGTGTCTTTTTTTCTTTTAAGCATCACTGATATTGCTGGATAAAAGTAAATGATTTATTACCTATTTTTAAAGATGTTAATACCATATTTACTCAAATAGAAAACTACACTTATTATAAGATGACCCCCCCAGTAATTAGATTCTATATATGGAAAATGTATAAATTTGTTATAATTTTCTAGGTATACAATCTAATTATTAGAGGTTTGCCTTGAATTTACTCCATCTCCACTGCTATAGCAGGGACAATACATCTGGGGTATTAGAGAGCCCTTTGTCCTCTGCTTCCCCCCAAATGTTTCCCCTGTAAGTCTCTTCCCTCTTCTGTCAGACCCTGTTCTCCCTGTGCATGTGAAAGTGAGGAACAAATTTGAAAACAATAACCTTGAAATTAAACATGGCCACAACAATTTGCATATAGTATCTATAGACTCAGGTCATCCATAATTGATGTATGTTACTTTTTTTTTTAATCTACTGCAAGTTTTAGTACAGGTGTTTCATAAATGCACTTTTGAGTAGTACTTTAGCACCTATTTGTATCTTGTATAAACTATGCATGGTATTACTGCAAAGCTAAAAGGCTCATGATTTATCACATAGTTCACTGCAGTGGGCCCCACCAGTCAACAGCAGTTCCAGCCATGGAGAACCATGACATTGCATACAGTTCACCCAAAATCTTTGTTGCACACTTTCTCAGCCTGGCACATATGATTACCAGGGTAAGCTGGTTTTCTCTGATTAAAAAAAAAAGGCCCCAATTTTCGGTTAAAAAAAGTAACCCCAAATTCACATTTTTCTGTGATTAGAATGAAACACCACTATATATAATGGCGTTTCATTTTAATCACTGAAAAATGTGAATTTGGGGTTACTTTTTTAACTGAAAATTGGGGATCTTTTTAAATCAGAGAAAACCAGGATCCCCATTGATTAGTGTGGCCCCATGCTCCACAGTGACCACGCAGCTCAGTACTCTGAGTGGTCATGTCTACGTGAGACATTTACTGTGGAGCTGCCTAATATTAGCTCCTCAGTAAAGTCTCTGTGTCTACATGTGCAGGCCTACTAGGCTGCAGTAAACTAATAGATGCCACCATAGATTAGTACGTGTAAATATAAGTATTATCCTGTGGCGGAATTATTTACTGCGCAGCAGTGCATGTGTAGATACTGACTCGGCTGGCTGGGGCATAAGGGTGCTTCAGTGTGGTGCTGCCTGCTAGTTAGCCTTGTCCTGAAGCATCCTCGTGCATCATCCAGCCCCTCCACAGCACACTGAGCTGGGTTGGAGCAGCCCCAGTCTGGCAAACTAACCCCTGGCTCCCTGCCAGCCAGGGCTGCTCCAACCTGGCTCAACGTGCTATGGTCCTGGGCACATGTATAAATGCAGCTCCTGGGAGCAATAAACTCTGGCATCTATGCGCTAGAGTTTGATGTACTACATTAATTTCACATGTAGATGTTCCCAGTATGTGTGCCTACTCCAGATACACCCTCAGAAAGGCCTGATGTGTTAATTATCTTCCACTCATGACTGGAACTGGGAGCTCTTGTCACAAATCCTGAGATGCTCCAAAAATGTATGTGCAGATGAGGTACAGAGCAACCTGGTCTGGCTTCACTTCATGGAAGGTGGGGACACAGCAGGTTGATAGAAGTGGCATCACCAGGCTGTGAGAAGGGTTGACAAAGGGATTTTGAACATGTAATGTTGTGGCTCATCATGACTTAAAAAAGAGTTGGCAGTGAGGGGGATTGCACTTAATGGGCACTGCCATATGTCTTATTCAGATGTGTTGCACTAATCTATCCTTTTGGTAGATTCTCATCAACATTTCTGGCACCAGGGAAGGTTGTTGACACTTGCTCCAGCCTCTCTGACTGCTGGCCTAAAATTGCAGTATCTCCAGGACTAGTGATTGTTCCCTCCTGGAGTAGCAACTGCCCATTGTTTTTCAAGGGGCACTCGCACAAAAAAACAGTTCCCATCAGCATGTTTGCCCAATGTGGGCCATGCGTTTTATAGTCACGCTTAGTGTTGGCTGAATCTAATCATCTTCATAGTTGGTTTCTATTGCTGAGCACATGCTGCTTTTGGCAGCAGTTTAATGATAGACAATATATTTAGTGAGATTCCTTGTTTGTAATTATAAGAGGGGCTTTTTTCCCCATGCCATTATGGGGTGGGGGGGAACCTTGTCCTGTATTTGAGTAAATATGGTATAACCATTTTTTTTTCTGTGTATAGGTATGTGAGTGTGAACTGTAATGCAATGTTTTACCCCCTTTGAAACAATATAATAGACTGGGAATTATCAATCATTATATAGTACAGACTTCAATTTAAGGGAGAGATGATCTTGCACAGCATCTCAGTTCCATTCAGTATAGCATCCTCTGTTATCCACAGTGTCATAACATTCAAACTGCAACAAATTATTTCATTATTTTAAACTGTTTGTAGTGGTTGTTGTCTCTTAATGTAGCTCTGTTTCTTGTCATATGTGTTAGAAGCTGCTAATAGAAACAGCTAAGGCACTTTCTTTTCTTGCTTTCAACTACTTTTACAGCCTTAAGCAAGAAAAAGAGGTCTTACTCATAATGTTTAGCACTAGGTCAATGTCCTAGGTATTGTTAATAACCCAATATTTTCCTGCCTTTACTACCATAATTCACAAATGTACTTCATATCTCTAGATGAAATCTTATACATTAAAATATGCATTCAGCTACCTCTACCTACTCATTTCATTATTTTTAGTATCAGATAATAATCTAGGCAACAGAATTCCAATCTAGTATTTTCTAATACTCAGTGTAATGGGAAAAAGAGACATTTCTGTGCTTTTGACACTGAATAATCCTAGAGTGAATAAAGAATAATTTTCTAGAAAAGCTACCCCTAACACCTCATCTAAGCACTTATGTATTTTTCCAGCAAATATGAGAATATTTGCTAAATTTCACAGAGAGCTTTTAACTGAGGCAATAAAATAGTTAAAATGAACATTCCAAAATAGAGAGATAAGCAAGATCTGTGGTTTCTGTTGACTGTAATTACACATGTGCTCAGCTGCCTATAATTATATGTTATCTTCTCTAGAAAAAGATGGCTGAAAATTGACATTTAAACCATCTACCCTTCTTACTGCTTTTGGTCAGACATCTACAGAGGATGAAATTTGTTAGTGCTTCTGTATTAACTTTAGCTTTGCCTCAGGACACATTTACTAATAGAATAATTGACCTTTCTGTTGTAATGCAGTTCATCTAATAAGTGCTAGAAGCTGCACACATTCCTATTTTGTATTAAGTATGGATTGATTGTGTAAAAGAGGAAAATTTGATCAATACCAACTATTTAATGAGAGAAAATGATCAGAAGCATTCTACACAGAGATATGTTTTCATTATTAAGTCCATTTCTATAATGTATAGTGGCAATACTGGGCTACCTCATTCAAACTGAGTATGGTTATAAGGAACATACTTACAAATTAATGTAATGCACATGTTACATTCATGAGTAAAGATGATGGGATCTGACTGTAAATTATTGAGTTTTGTCAGTTTGGAGAAAGTGGGTCAGTTTTCTGTGTTTTGAATTACTGATCGCATCTCCAATAGAATAAAAGCAAACTGAAAACAATAACAAATTTAGAATTGTAACTGAAATCAGAATATATCCCAGCAGATGAGAAATGGTAATTGTTAATATGCAATTCCCATTTAATTAAATACTCAGTGGGTGGAAAAACAGGATAAAAATATATGGACATTTATTTTGTTTTTAATTTTTTTTTTTTTTTAAAGATGTGCAAACACTATAGCTGAAAAGGAGTCTAATGAATATTTTTTCAGCATTACAGTCTTGGATTTATTTGTACATTCATGTTACACAGCAGAAATTGTAAATGTAAAACAGTTCTGTGCCTTGTGCAAACTGTATAGATAAAAGCCGGGGATTTTTAATACCTGTGTATAAACCCTTGTTTCATTTATTTTAATTTCCTATAGATATTATTGGTAACTAATTTTAACATTCAGGGAAGTGGGAGAGCATGAGCTTTCAAATATTTAAAAGAAGATGGAGACACATGGTTCTCTCTTGCCACAGAGAGCAGAACATGAGGAAATGGGCTTAAACTACAACAAAGCAGATTTAGATCAACTCTCTGGAAAACTTCTTAACCCTAAGAGCAGTGGGCCCGCACTGTTCAACATCTTCATCAGTGACTTGGACGAGGGGGTAAAAAGCACCCTGTTCAAATTTGCAGATGACACTAAGATGTGGGGAGAGGTGGGCACGCTAGAAGGGAGGAATAGGCTGCAATCGGACCTAGGCAGGTTACAGGGGAGGGCGGGTGAGAACAGGATGGGGTTCAACACTGACAAGTGCAAGGTGCTGCACCTGGGGAGGAGGAACCAGCAGCATACCTACAGGCTGGGGAACTCCCTTCTTGTCAGTGCAGAGGCAGAAAAGGATCTTGGAGTCATTATTGAGGGCAAAATGAACATGGGCCGACAGTGTGAGGATGCGGTCAGGAAGGCTAACCATACCTTGTCATGCATCCACAGATGCATCTAAAGCAGGTCCAAGGAGGTGATCCTCCCCCTCTATGCAACACTGGTCAGGCCGCAGTTGGAGTACTGTGTCCAGTTCTGGGCGCTGCCCTTCAGGAGGGATGTGGACAACATGGAGAGGGTCCAGAGGAGGGCCACCTGCATGATCAGGAGTCAGCATGAGAAGAGGCTAAGGGACCTGAACCTGTTCAACCTCCACAAAAGAAGGCTGAGGAGGGATCTAGTGGCCATTTACAAACTGGTCAGGGGGACCAGCAGGCATTGGGGGAGTCTCTGTTCCTCCAAGCACTACCAGGAGTGACAAGAAATAACGGTCACAAGCTGGCAGAGGGTAGATTTAGGCTAGATATCAGGAGGCGCTACTTCACTGTCAGGGTGGCTAGGATCTGGAACCAAATTCCAAGAGAAGTGGTGCTGGCTCTTACTCTGGGGGTCTTTAAGAGCTAGATGAGCACCTTGCTGGGGTCATTTGACCCCAGTACTCTTTCCTGCCATGGCAGGGGGTCAGACTTGGTGATCTGCTCAGGTCCCTTCCGACCCTACCAACTATGAAACTATGAAACTATGGAACAAGCTACTTAAAGAAATTGTGGAATTCCTTCACTGGCTTTTTCAAGAGAAATCTTGATCAATGTGGAATAAGTTAGAAATAGCACATATCCCTAGTTCTGGTCACCTCAACAGTTATTGAGATGCAATAAACCTAGCAATTTAAAAAAGCAGTATAATGCACTAAAACAGAAATAAATTATCTAACCAGTAATATAAATACCCAACAATGATAATATCTACAGGTTAAGCCTATTTTGTCCAATGCTGCAATTGCTTAAAAAACCTAGCACTTTCTTTTTCTCATGATCAGTCTGTGACTTAGTTTAATTTCAACAAAAGACAATGACAAGTTTGTAAGCTATTAAGTAGTCTCAGTCCTTCAGATCATCTCATTTCCATATAATTTTGACAAAATGATTAATAAGCAAATAAGTGCCAAGAGAGAGTGACAAAATGGCAAAATCTTTGACTTGTAACAATGCATGGAAGTATTTTTTGTTTATTATTATGGATTGACTCTGTTACTTATTTTCCTTGTGTCTTGATGCAGAGACTTTATCAATAGCCTTCGACTGTATAGGACATTCTATGGAGGCCTGGCTGATCAGCTGTGTATTAATGAGCTAGCAGCTGCTGATGGGCTACCTTGTTGGAATGGAGAAGATGTTGTAAAAAGGTACATTTTCACTCTATGACCTACAAAGAACCTTCATGTTTTCTTAGCTACTTTTTTCCTCCAGAATTATTTATAGTAGAACAGTTTTGAAAATTTGCCTGTATTTGGTTAAGAGCCAGTGTTTTGCAAAATAAATGAGAAAATCTTCCACTCTTTAAAACATAAAATACAAACAGACAAAAAAAAGACCCAACAAAAACAAAACAATTTCACAAAAAAACACACAACCTATATTTCACCCTTAACAAAATAAAGGACTAGCTCTCATCAACAGTTTTACTTTACCACATTTCTGAAGCTGTCCTGGCACTTGTGGTGTTTGCTGCAACAAGGAAGGTTTGACATTTCTGAAATAAAATCAGAGTAAAAGAAACGAGACTTTTCCTTGAGGCTGCAAAAGATCAAGGTTGGTATTTTAAAAGGTTCCCTTTTGTATGAATATTATGACAACAAACTCAAGCCATTCATCTAAAACTTTCTTGGACTGAGAAGAATGAAGTATATGACATAAGTGCTGCATAAGAGGTACACAGGGGTGCACGTGCACCCCCTGAGAATGCTGGTGTCTGAGAGCAAACACTCTTGGCTTAGGCAATGGGCAGGGGGGCAGGCAGAGTGCTGGTGCCTCCCCAAGAAGTACCGCTGGCACTTCCGGGTATGCCACCTGCACTTTCGGCCTTGGCATCCAGCTGCGGGGCAGATCCTGCCCCCCCACTGCCAACACTACCATGACCGCCTGCAGATGTTCCCTGCTTTGCCCACTCTCATGGCTGATGTCAGCGCAGTCGCCTGTGGGTGGTCACTGTCCCCCCACATCCTCAGGAGGCATGTGTGTTTTAATATATGTGGTTTCTCATTAGCAGGGATCCTGGTTTTCTCTGATAAAAGAAAAAATCCTCAATATTTGGTTTAGAAAAATTAACTCAAAATCGTTTCATTTTAATTACAGAAAAATATGGATTTTTGTTTACTTTTTTAAATCTGAAAAACTGTGGATTTTGTTATCAGAGAAAACCAGGATCCCTGCTCATGACAGCATTAAAAATTAAGATAGTAAAATAAACTGTTAAAAGGTGAAACAAATACATTACTTTATGTAAGTAGTGGCTTGTGGGCAGTCACTCAGTAACAGTGTCAGAGAACTGATAAATTCCCAAGCTCTAAGAGGTACTGTATTTACCCAAATCCAAGATTACTTCAAATTTAACACAGCCCCCCAGTAATTAGATTCTATATAGGGAAAATGTATACATTTGTTATAATTTTCCACATACAGAATCTAATTATCAGAGGTCATCTTCAATTCATCTCTCCTACCAGGGAAAGTAGCAGCTGCGGGGTATGCAGTAGGGGGACAGGTGGCTGAAGGGCCATGCCTTCCTCACTTGTGCTCCCTGCAACCTACCCCCAACAGCAGCACCTGTACCTCTATCACCTGTGGCCTGTTCTGCCATTCCCCACAACCGCGGGCCCCTGCTTGCCCCCCACAGCCTCTTTGCCCACACCTGTTCCCCACAGATTCTGCCCCCCCAGCTTACTCTCCAGTGGAGCTCTGGTAGCATTCTCCACAGAGCACATGGAAACTAAGCCTCCTGCCAGGTAGTAGTCGCAGTGGCAGCTCAGCCTTTGGATGGCCAGGAAGGGGCTAGAGCTTCCATGTGCTACATGCCCAGGAGATAATGAAGCTGGAGCTGCACTGGAGTTAACAGGGTGAGGATGAGGCAGAGGCTACAGGTCTCAGGATGGAAAAGGTGGCAGGGAAGTGGGCTGGAGCAGAGGCTAGGGGGTGGGAGGCTGCGAGAAGGAAGGGGAGAAGAGGCTGCAGGGAGCAGCGGCTGTTGCAGCTCTGACTCTTGCCCCAACCCAGGCTTGGGGTCAGAGTAGAGCTTCAGCAGCCACCTGCTCTCCCCTTCACCCTCCCTTGTACTGGAATCCAAGATGAGGGGCCTTTTTCCCTGTGTTGCCTTGGATTCGAGTAAATACAGTAAATCTATGGAACCAATATATATCATAGTGCACAGTACAATGGCATTTTGGATGACAGGAGGAGTTTCATGAATCCATAGTTTATTCCTTTTGTTTTGTTAATTCAGTTCCCAGAGCAAAGATAATTCTGAACTAGAATTACTAGGGGAGATTGGGATTGAAGTTTTAACAAATACATCTTAATCCATTTATATCGGTATCTCTGCTGTTAATACAAAACTGAAGTAATACAAAATTAGATGGGATTAAATTTATACCTTCATAACTTTTTATCAAAGCCTTATCAAAGAGAAGAAGAGGTAAGGAAAACTAATAATGACCATACCACTTGCATCTTTAAGTATCTTTTAAATATTTTGTATAGCCTTTGACTTCTGTATCTCAGGTTCTGTCTCAATCCTGCTTTCAACTTCTTTCATCTTCTTTCTACTCAGATGAATTATAAGTTACCGTTATCAAATTTATTGATGAAAAGGTCAAATGGGAAATTTTATACTAAATTATTTACTGGTGGCTGAATTTCAAATATTGCTACTTTCTATTGCTTATTATCTTACTATTAGTATAATTTATACCCAATTGTGCAATCAGATATTATAATACAACTGTACTATTATATTTTAAAAAGAAATATGAATAGATCCTGCGGTATTTCTCCAAGGGCAAAGAACTCTACGTATAGGATTTTATCCTTCTATAGTGTTTGTAAAGAAATAAAAAATAGTTACACCCTTGATCCAGTAGTAATCCAAATAGCATTTAGTTGATTTTTAGTCAAATTGTGATGAAAAAAGTTATACATATATTACTATTTATTATTGTTGTTATTACTGTTGTTGTTATTGTTATTTCAAATATATGCCCGACCTTATAAAAAACACCTTGGAAACTATGTGTGGTAATTTGTTGCATTTTCTTTGTAATTCTTTTCCACTAATATCCAGGAAAAAAAGAAAAGAAGGAAATATTCTTTTTAGTTTCTATGGACCTCATTACATGTTACTCTAAGTATATGTTATATATAGATTGTAGTAAACATTAATATGCTTTAGAACAGGGGTGAGCAATTATTTGGGCTGGGGAGCCACTTAGGGAATTTTGGTGAGTTGTCACAGGCTGGGTTAGCATAGCCCTCCACTCCTTCTCCCACCCTGCACTGGGTCAGTACCGCCTCCCCTCCTTCCCTCCCCCCTCAACAGCTTGCCAGATCTCTCTAAGTGGCTCTGCTCCATGCTGGTCTGGAAGACTGGGATGGGGGCATGGATGGGAGGGGAGTGGCATCCAGGAGTGAGCTGGGTGGGTGGAGCCAGGGCTTGAATTATGGGGCTGTGACAGCATGGGGCTGGGGCCTAGGGCAAAGCCACGATCTTCCCCCTGAATATACCTGTGATGGGCACTAGTTCCATGGGCAGGAGTGTGTTGGGAGTGGATCATGGCTCTTCCCCAGGTCCAGGCCCTATGCTGTCACTGTCCACAGTTTTAGAGTTTCCATGAAGACTGGCTGTGACCCACATGGGCAGGGTGCAGAGCCATGTGGATGGCATAGGCTGCAGGTGGGTGAGGAGCAGTGCCTGGGAATGAAATGGATGGGTAGGACCAAGGCTGGTATCTTGAGGCAGTGATAGCATGGGGCTGGGTCCCAGGGCAAAGCCACAATTTGCTCCCTGCATGCCCCTGCCTGTGGAGCTGGGGCTTGTTGCAAGGATGTGTAGGCATCAAATCACAACTCTGACCTGGGCCCTGCCCCATGCTGTCACTGCTTCATGATCCTGCCCTGTCATCCCAGCTCTGCTCATCCATCCTTCTCTTGGATATTGCTCCCTGCAAGCCTATGTCCCCATCCCATCCACCTGGCCACTCACTCTGCCCTTGAATGTCCTGCTCCCAGTGATGGGTGCAGGATGAATGGGTTGGGGTGCTTAGGCAGTGAGGCCAGGGCTGGTGGCAGCCAGGAGCCACTGCTGGTGGACTTTGGGAAGCAAGCCCGGCCTCCATACTGCCCCAGTCCTGCTACACACCTGAGGGCAGCAGGACTGGCTAAATGTGCCACAGCTTGGGCTGCCCCCCATGTCTGGACTGGATGGGGCTGAGGAACACACCACAGGCAAGACAAAATCCCTTAGTGGGCTGAATCTGGCCTCCAGGCCATATTTTGCCCACCCCTGCCTTAGAAAGTTTTCTGAGTAGTATCACATTAATGTTTCGTACAGTCTAAGCACAGATAGTAGTTCCACACTGGAGTCTTGTAATATCTCCAGTCTGATCCCAGGGCTGAGTCAGACAATCAGCTGTTGTTCAGTCTCAGTCCTGGGATTGTACTAAGCTTGTTGAAGACTCTGGTGCAATCCCATTGCTGAGAGGGAATATCAGCTGATTTTTGGATTTAGCTTTGGGATCATACCAGATCTGGTTCAAGGCTTCAATTGCAAGGGCTGGGAGCAACATTGGCACAGCACAGGATCTAGTTCCTGCCCCCATACTGCACTGGACTTGATTCAAAGTTCCCATATAGTTTGGAGGCTGGGACTGTGCTGTCCAAGCCCTTCACACCACAAGAGAGCCTTGAACTGACTCATGCAGTGTGGTGCTGGGTGTCAGTGCCATTCCCAGTCCCTGTGCTGCACTGGAGCTTTGAACTGTCAAAGTTGCATTGGGGGGGTGGGGAGGTGTCATAGATCACACAACTGCTCCACCCTTGCCTGGCTGGTTCAAGGCTTTGGTGCAGTAAGGAGGCTGGGAGCCTGATAAAAAACCTTTTCAGGTTCCCAATGCCCATCACACCAAACTCTCCTGATTGTGCTACCTCCATAGAGCAGTCCAATTTTAGCTCAAGACATGTTGATACAATCTGGAGATACTCCTTGCCAGAAAAGGCCTTATTTTACTACTCTGTGATGATGCTTTCTCTACTGCTTGAATGCTCAGTTATAAGTTCAGTTAATGTGTCTTTAATGTAATGTGTGACAAGGCCCATTTAATAGTGAAGATACAGGTATGAACAAAGACTTTGGGAC